AGGGGAGAAACGGGAAAAGATGATTTAAAAGCGGGGGGGGAAAAAAAAAAGGCCGACCACGAAGGGACTCGAACCCTCAATCTTCTGATCCGAAGTCAGACGCCTTATCCATTAGGCCACGCGGTCACTACGGTGCAGCCCCCCAGTGATGCTGCCAACCCCCGGCATCCCCCCGCGCCCCTCCCGGCTCCCTCCGGAGCCCCGGGCAGCGACACGGGGCCAGGGCGAGCACGGGGCTCTCTGGGGGACACAGAGCTCTGTGGGGAACACGGGGGGCCGTGGGGGACAGGGGGAATGGCAGGGGACACGGCTGGGGAAGGACCACCTGCTGCCATGGGAATTCTGCTGCTGGAGGGGGAATCGAGTGTGGGACTTGCTGATTGCCATTGCTGCCCTGGAGCCATTCATGGAATCACAGAATCATGGAATATCTTGGGTTGGAAGGGACCCACAAAGATCACTGGGATGACAGCAGGAAAAAACCGCAGAGATGGAGAGGAGGGCAGCAGAGGAAAACACAGACACATAGAAAACACAGAAGTCTCTGACCCTTTCATTTTAACTGTGAGGTCCCAGAAAAGAACATAAGGAGCATGGGAGATCAGCAAGGAGGCAGAACCAGAAAATCCTTGGGTGCATGGAAGGCTCAGCAGGAAATGAGGACACGGTGTGGTCTGCTGGCAAGCAGGACCGGGGCTCAAAGGAGAGCAGCCTCCCCCACAGCCCTCAGTCACACAGGCACTAATTCCTGATCCATTTCAGTGAGGTTGCAGCAAACTCTCAGCCCTGTAAATGAGACTAAATTTGCTACTGAGTAGCTCTGGCTCTTTGCCTTTTCTTTGTGAGGCTGGGCCCTTTCTTTTCTTCTCCCTCAAATTGCTGGATTTTTTTTTAATGACCTCATTTTTACATGACCACAACTAAAATCTACTCCCAAGAGCCAGCTGAGTGCATCAAACCATTAGCAATTTCTTCCTTCCAACAGATAAAATGTCTGTTTACAAAAATCCATCCCTCATTAATAAATATCAAATCAACTTCCACATAACAAATGACGTGTCCTGGACTGCTTCATAAGACACACGGTACCATTCTCCTCCTTATTTGGAAGCAGGAGATGATGCAGGGAGTTTTTGTAGCCATCCTCACCTTTTCTCTTGGGACAGGTAAGTGCAAGGGGGATAGAAAACCTTCAAGGAATTCTGTTCTCTTCTGTGTGAGAAGGGATTTTTGTGTGCTAACGATGTTTCTCACATCCACAGCTCCAAACCCTTTCTCTTTTGGTGCATCTCTCACAGGTTGAGGTCTTGTCTGATGATTTTGTGTTTCAAGTGGAATTCTCTTTCCAGCAGGGGCTGCTCCAAAGTACCTCTGCACCTACTATGACATTGTTGACTACCTGAACATCTCCTCTCACAACAAGCTGCACACGTACATTCTGCCCAAAATAAACCTGAATGAGCCTGTGGAAGTGAAGATGGACTTCATGCTGGTGGCAATTCTGTCTGTGGTAAGGACCCAAAATGAGTCTTTATAATAGGAACCTGGGCTAGTAGTAGGCCAGGGTTTGAGTCTCCTGACAGCAAATCCACAGGGGTGAGAATCAGACCCTTCCACTTCAGCTTTCTGCTGTTGGAAAGCACTTCTGGAAGATCTGGAGTATTTTCTCCCTCTCCTTCCAGAAGTCGTATCCAGACAAGCAGCTTGCTTTGTAGGAGGCTCCAAAAACCCTGCAGAGTGCCTGAACTGTGCAGTGCATTTGCAGGACACTGCCATGGAAATGTTAACAATAATCTATTATTTTTCCTAACCATTGGACTGTGCGCTCCCACTCTTCAGCCGTAGGATCAAGAGCCACAAGCTCTTCTCCCAAGCCCACTTACTGCAGTCTGTGCTCCATGAAGAGCTTCTGCATTGGGTACATCTAAGAAAATCAGCTAAATATCTTTGTTTCTCCAGGTGGAAAAGCTCCAGACAGTCAGTTTTTACTTCGTCCTGAACCTGGTAGGTCCCTCAAGCGTGTTTCTCTCCTGATGTCCAACACAAAGTCTGGTGCCCAGCCCAGAGCTCATCTCTCTCCTGCAACTTCTTCCATCAGGAATGGCAAAACCCATTTGCAACCTGGGACCCACAGGATTTCTGTAACATTTCTGAAATTGTTCTGCCCATGGATACGTATTGGTCACCCCCCATCTTCATTTTAGAGCGGTAGGTTCCCCTTTCATTTTTATCCACTGGCTTAACAGAAATACAATGGATGCAAACTGTTGGTTATATTATAGGAAATGGGATAAACTCAGATGGCTAAAAGTTGTTCCCTTGAGCTCTCTGTAACTGAGAGCCTCCTAATTTAGATTAATGATGACCATAGTTTATACAAAGCACTTAGTGGTTCTGTAATACTGTAGCAGCTCCTGAAATATCCCCTCTGGGCTGTAGCTAAAGCTGAGGAAGCAGCAGAAACCAGCACTCCTGTGGAATAAAGTGACCTTTAGTAGTGTGTGGAAAGATACAGGGCAGAGCACTGAGGGTCTGACAGAGGGATGGGCACCCCCACCAGCTCTCCAGAGGGAGAAAGGAGTGGGAGGCAGAGCCAGGAATGAGTCCCTGCCCTGGTGAGAGCAGGGAGCAGAGGGCAGAGAGCAGGAGGTGCTCAGGAGGTGTGGAGCCACAGCAAACCTTGGTCACAAAGGGCTCACGAGCCCTTCTCCCAGCCCTGGTTTCCTCTCCTCCTGCTGCATCCCCTGGCTGGGTGATGGCTCAGAGCCCTCTAAACTGGGTGTTCACAGCCTTGTTTTATGGGACTGAGGCACAGGCAGCATCTTAGGCTCAGTTACTCTCCCTGTCTGTTCCCTCCAGGGTGAATGGGCAAAACCCAGAGCTGAATTACATGGTCCTCATGCACAACGGCAGCTTCAACTCCACCCGGCCCTTCCAGGTGACCCTGACGTGCAGTTTGATAATCCTCAAGTTCCCCTTCGACACCCAGATGTGCAACTTGAGTGTAGCTTCATTCCTCTACCCAGGTACAGCTACCACCTCTGGGCTGAATTTGGAGAAGGACTAGATGAGCACCACATGCTCACAGTGGGGTTGAAGTCATATGAGACCAGGGAAAATGAGTTAAAATGCTGCCATTCTGTCATGGCACGTTTCCCAGCAACACCTCTGGAACAATCTGGATGTCCTGTGGCAAGTCCCTCCCAGGACTGGTTCCTACAAACCAAGAGACCCGAGACCAAGAGGCTTCCTGCAAAACTTGTTCACATAGAATTTTGCACAACTGATCTTTAAACACACCTGAAAGGCATGGAAATGGGAGGAAATTAATCGTAGAATACTAACGTTGGAAAAGATTTCCAAGGACATCAAATCCAACCATTAAAAGGACAGTTTCAGGGATTCAAACTCCAGTTAGAGTTCATCCCAACAGGAAGGGCTGAAATATAAGCAGACGTGATGCAAAATCTTCCCAGTCCCATCCACAAAGGACAACTGTCCTAATTCAGCAGATGTTTCCCCTCTGATCCACATCCCAGAGGTCCAGCCAAGCCTCTTCACAGAGACCTTTTTAGTTTCTCCTTCATGGGCTGAGAAACCTTTCCCTTCCCTGTCTGCACACACCCTCAGCTGGGTGGGAAAGGGAGAGAAAACTGACCTCTAATAAATTCCTAAAATCTTCAACTTCCCTCCCCCTCTGCCTCCTGCCCAAGCAGTAACAGACTTTGTCATGAAGACGAGACGGACACCAGCTGAGATCATGAATGACAGCCAGAGTTTCCTACTAACTGATGGAGAATGGAAGTTCACCAACCTGAGCATCATTGAATATACGGAAATTCTGGATGACAAAGGATATTCTGTGGTCACCTATGTGGTATGACAGCACTTCCCTATTATACTGCACTGATTTGGCAGTAAAAAAACACAGTATATAACAAGATTATTTTTTACATTAAGGGGCCAGCATTTGTCAACACATTGAGTCATCTCCTGCTCATCAAATTTTACCCATCTTCCTCAACAGATTTCCATGGAGAGACGACCCACTCTCTATATTCTGAACCTGATCCTCCCAACATGTGCCCTATACTTGCTGGACATGGCTGTGTTGTTTGGTCCCAGCTCTCTCGAGGAGAAAATCAACTTCCAGATTGCCATCATCCTTGGCAGCTCCATGCTGGCTGTGATTCTCAACAACAGCCTCCCTACTTCCTCCAACAAACCACCTATAATAGGTATCCACCTTTATTGAATAAACCCTAATTTTCACCCAGCTACCAGCCCTAAGGAAAGCCTTTGGTTGTTTATAGACATGCTCATGAACGCTGAAGTCATGAACACCTAAGCTTGATTAGCTTGCTGGAGTTAGACTTTCCCTGTTCCCCACCAGGCAATGGAATGTAAGAAAATGCCAATTATTCAGAGCTTTCTCTGTTTTCCTGTTGTTCTGCAGTGGTGTTCTTCCTGGGAACCTTCCTGCTCATGATCATGGCTGTGTTAGACACCTTCTTCCTGTTGTATCAGCAGCGCAAATCCCTGCGCTTGGACAAGGCTCTCAGAAGCTTCCAGCAAGGTAAAACACTTTAACAGAGTAGGTCTGGGGCATTTTCCTGCGCATTTGTTGGAGCCAGGGCGGGTTTCCTCAAGGGCAAACAGTGCCCCAGGCAGTGTGAGCCATGGTGGCCCTGCTGTGTTGACACTGCCCTTTGCTCCCTGCAGATCCACACAAGCTGCCCAAGAAGGCCCCAGGGAACCTGGCCAAAGCAGGTCCCCAACTGCTGCACCCTCCCAAGAAGGCCCAGGGACAAGGGCAGCCGAACAAACGCCTCTGGCAGCTGCAGGAGCTGGACCCATTTCTGCCAGTTCTGGAGAAGGTGCTTCTCTACAGCCACCTCTTCTTGTCGCTGTTCTTTTTTACTGTGATTTCTGTAAAATGGAGCAGTTGAAGATCAGCTCTGCCCCGTGCCAGCTCCATTGTTCTGTACTGTGTTGCTTCTGATCCCCTGCTGTAATTTGCTCCTGCTCGATTCACAGAGCTGCAGTTCAGTTGCCTGAATAAAATTAAATTAAAATCCAAAGCCACAGGACCCAAGATGAGCATGCATAGTTCTTTGTATTCTGGTTCAGTAGAACTACAGATGTTCTTGAACTATTCTGTGGGCTACTAAGGTATTTAAATAAAATAGTTGTAAAATCTTCCTCCTACCTATCTGTAATTCTGACCTTAAACATTTTACTGTTTCTGTGAGTTCCAGTGAGATCAGCAGCATTCAGAAATCCAGGGCAAAGAGAAAAGGAGCACCAGGATTAAGTGTTTTTAATAATAACTAAAAAAGTAACTCTTTTTGTGTGCATCTCAACACTACTTCAACTCCTTTTGCAATTGGCTTCTCCTAATCAATCACAATCAGCCCCAGACCTGTGCCTGCAGAAGTCCTGAGACACTCCAGACACACACAAATCACTGCCAAATGCACTCCAGCATCTCAAGGGGCTACACATGTTCAACTTCTGAGCAAGTGTCTGCCTGCAGGGGCAGAACTGCATTTCCTGCACCTGCTGGTTACAGAGAGGAACAGGAGGTTTATTTGCATTTTACAGGGCTCAGATTGATCAGCAGGATAGGGAGCTTGGTCCTTGCTACCAAAACAAGCTCATGGGTAGAAAACACAAAATTCAGGAGAAGTGGAATGTTTGTAAGTTATTGTATTGCTCCATTTTACTCAGAACTCATATCTAAGATCTAAGCCACAGACAGAGAAAGCTCTTTATTTAGAAGATCATCCAGTCTGACAGTCATAAAACTACTCCCTGATCAGTTTACAGATCAGCTATTGGCTTGTGGGGCCAGAATGGATATTTCTCCTTGTTCAGTTTAGTTTCAGGGAAGGCTTCACTCAAGTCTTCAAACGTCATCTGTTCAAAGGGAATCATGTTCTTGAGCTTCTGGAGCTGTGGAAGCAGGGACAGACACATCAGAAGTCAGCAGGAAAGAGCAAAGCACACCCAGGACAGCAAGGAGTGTGCCAGGGTGGGGTTCAGAGAATATTCCCTAAACAAAGTCCAGCCTCACCTGCTGCTCGTACTGGGCGATGCGGGCTTTGGAAGCCTGGATGTATTCAGCAGTGCTCTTGGCCTGGGGAGAACAGAGGATGGGGGGAGTGTGGTTATGATAAGGACACTGACCCAGCATGAACCTGCAGCCCCCCATGCTTTCAACTGGCATTAAAATCCATCACTGTCACACTGGGTAACCAATGGAATCCCCAGCAGATCCCAAACAGCCAAACCCTTCCCTGTGCAGGGATCCCCTTGCTGAGAAAGCCAGGGACACGCGTGAAGGGCAGAGCTGTGCCCTGGCTCAGGCTGCTCTGCCCATGCAGGGGCACATCCAGAACATCCCCTCCCTCTCATCCCTTCCCATCCCCACAGAAGGCAGGGACAACCCCAGCAGTAGGGAACAGTTCACTTACAGCTTCCTTCTCCTGGGCGTCAATCTTGGCAGATTGTGTATCCACTGGCTCAGGAACCTTCAGTGCACTGAACTGTAAATTGAAAGACAATTTTTGTAAGGTCTGTTTGACTGAAACAATCCTTCACATTGAGGTAATCTTCCCTAACATCAGGGGAAAATTCCTTCCTTTCTTCCTAGGACTTGCTCACAACCATGTAAGTTAATGAGCAAAAAGTGGTCAGTGAAGCTGTCCTCTGTCCCCCCCAAGCAGCACTTGCTCACCCAGGAGCTTGCAGCCATCTCCTCTGTCCTGCCCACCACACACCACCCATTTCTCACAGCATGTAAGGAAGCTGGAAGGTCCAACCTCACAGATTTACCCTATCACAGAGTTACTGCCCCAAACACAAAGCTCCCAGACCCATTTGAGCTCAGCAGGTGCCTCCAGTCTTGGGAGGCAAATTTTCATAGTGACACAACCAACCTCCTCTACCAATCCTGGTGCTTTCCTCTCAATTCCCCAATTAGATTCCAAAGAGCAATACCCAGCTGGCAAGGAGACTGACCTTCTTCTGGAACTCATCCACCATTCCAGCTTTGGCAACATTAGCTTTGTAGAAAGCCCAGTCGATGGCCGGGGGCTTCTCTGGCAGTGCAGCCAGCCTGAAGGGAGGGAGCACAGCTGACATGAGCAGCAACCTGAGCATGAGCACAGCCTAATGTGTTTCGTTTAGGTGCTTTCAGGTTTGAAACAAACCATGTCTTGCAAATTTCCCTTGGAACAGGCCCCTCTGGACAGACAAGCAGAGCTCAGCCTGCAGCTTTGCCCCGCTTCACTCTGCTCCTCTGGGTGCAGCCCTTAAGGAAGGGCAAAGCTGTTTCACAACATTGAGCCAGAGGCAATTAGCAACGTTCCCTGCAACAGCCAGCACTCTATCAGACAGAAGGTGCTACAGGATTTGAGAACCGCACGTGAATTTGTAGAGCATTTAACAGTGACAAACTCGTGCCAAAGTGAAGTGCGTTCGCAGAACTGCAGCTACGGGTTTACTCTGGGGAAGATTAACTAAAGGTGATTTGCCAAAAAAAGCCACCAGCTGCCTCAAGGTGACCTGCTTTAATACCTGGGAGGACACTCCTGCGGGACCAGAGAGCGACAGACAGCAGCCCTCACAGCTGGGTGGTTGGGCGAGGGCTGAGCGGGCCCTGTGGGACCGGGCGGGACTCACCGGGCTGTCAGCGCATCGTTGCGGGTCTTCAGCGCATTGAACATGGCTCGCTGGTTCGGAGGCACTCGCTCGGCGAAGGCCGCCCAGTCCACGGCTTTAAGGGCAGCTTTGCGTCCCGCCATGGCTCCGCCTGGCCCGGGAGACACCGGTGGGTCCCAGCGCCG